GACGCGTTTCAGAAAGGCGGGGCATAGAGGAGAAACAATGTACAGTATGTGGAAAATAATGTGTTTTTTTAACCTTAAACCGCATAAACACGTTTCATTACACCAAATACACAAAATAATGTTCTTTTTAGCAACATCATATGACCCCTTTAAAGGCCTCAATTTTCAGAATATTACACTTTGCCAAGAATGCAAAAACCGAAAACACTGAAGAGAACAGAATGTTCCTCATAAGACTGCCAATTCGAGCATTTTCTTTCCTATTTAATTGTATTTTTTCTTTTTATTTTATCACTAGCAAAGTCGTCAAAAGTATACTGAGTCACATGATGAGTAAAGTTCTTGAAATGGAGGTGGTATAGAAATGTGAATGTCAAGTTCCAGTTCTGAGCGTAAAAGATAATGCAATATTTAATATGAAAGCAAACACACCCAGAAAAATTTGACTTACAATAAAAATCAACAAACGTTTATAACAAAAGACAATGATAGGTTTTTCTTTCTTTGCAAGTTTTCCAGTAATGTTCACTTATACATTTAAACTCAGCTTGACTTAAAAACTGTGAAAGACCATTAAATGTTTGCCACAAGAACACAAAGAAAAACACAAGAAATGACATACATATGAGAGTTCTATACCACCTCACACACAAGCCATATAACAACTGTGAAGATGCATTAATACTGCATAAATACATAATATGATTTAATTTTATGTACTGCTGTTAGTCATTTTCAATACTATAACTACAACAAATGTACAGTACAATGTCTGAGATTAATTTCTCAGCACCTCATAAATCTAGAATGTCTGTTGTAAATTCAGATAAGTGGCGATCCCTACTCTAAAACGGAATGACTGGAAGTTAAATTAATACATGAGAAATATATTGATGTCTGTGGTGGTCATTAGACTTCACAATAGATTTTTTTATTTTGTAATTTTTATTTTTATATCTTTAAAATATGCATTTATTTACAGTGCTTTCTAAGATGTTTGTTCATGAGCCTTAATTTGTTCAGTTGCCATCGATTTCAATAAATGAAAATGCTTACCTTAACTTCTTTGTATGGTCTGTGTGCAGCTCAAGCTATAGATAATAGTCTGTTTTTTAAAATATTTTTTTAACATAAGAAATACAGTGCATGCTGAGCATTTCTAGGGCTTTTCGCACTGTGCTTAAACCCAGTTCATCATCATTCTAAACCACACTGTTGCCGTGTTCTGGTCATTTTAACCCAGAAAGGATATTATTTTTTTACAAAAATGCTAGTTAATGTTATCGCATTGGGCAAAAACTTACTGACTTTGCTCACAAAGGGTAAAACAACTCGCAATCAAAAATTTTAACATCTTTGTACTTTTAAAAAAGTTTTTTCATTGTTACATTATTGGTAAAAAACCTGGTAAAAAAAAATGACCTAGCTACAAAATATTGCTTGTATATCTTTCATTATGTTATGTTATTACCAAATGTTGGATTTAATTTTATTATCAACTTGTTTTCTTTCAATTAGCACATGATTTGATTTTTTGTTAAGAACTGATTGATCGTAGACCTCACTGATCTGGGCTTATGCACCTCAGTTTTTATTTAAGTGAACAGTGCCAAAATTATCTACAAAAAATGTTTGTTTGTTTTTTTTACTTAAAAAGAATAAGCTCAGATCAATGAGTCCTATGATCAATCAGTTCTAAAAGGAAATACAAAACCTTTTCTAATTAAAAGAAAACAAGTCGACAAAAAGATTAAATCCAACATTACATTCCTATTAAGCATAAAATCAAACATCTGTTCTTGCTTTTTTTGTAAAATATGTAAGAACATCTGCAGATTTTAAGGAGTTTATTGGTTCTATTAACATAGCAGAGGAAAATGAAACCATGTACTTCTGATTTAACCCATAAATACAACTGTTTAACTAAGACAATCTTACTAAAGAAAAAAACAAAGCATATAAAACCACAGTCCATAATCCAGTGTCCGTCTTTCTACAACTCAGATTTCTCCCTCCAATTTGGTCCCCTCTAGTCTCAGGTCGGCATCGTTCCTGCCCACTGTGAAAAGGCTGACCACAGCAAGCAGAGCGGCCAGCATCATCCCTGCACATCCTGCAAACATGTGTCTTGTGCCACTGCCAGCCTCCCCCGCACCGGCCCCAGACACCTCCCCGTGAAGAGCCAGCAGCCCCAGACAAGCCAGGAGGTGAAGAGGCAAACGAAAGCGGAGTCCATCCAGACAGCTTCGCCAAAAACGGGCCCATGTTGACATTTGCATTTTGGGGGCATTTAGAGGGTTGAGAAGAGGGCCATTTTTGTCTCCACTGGCACCTTTTTGCCTATCCTCCTGACCCCATTCGGACAGCACAAACCAGGCGCATGCGGCAAGGCTGGGGATCGCCAAGAGAAACGGAGCGACCGGTCCCAACCCAAGCCATTCGGCAAACAAGTTCGCCAACAGCCCGGCACCGACCGCCAGTCCGTGATTCCAATCTGCGACTTTACCAAAGGTAACAGGAATCCATTCTTTGGGAAAGTCATGGACGTCAACGTGACCGTGCACATACCAGGCCTCAAACACAGTGGTTAGCAAAGAGGTGGACAGGCCTCCTAAAACACGTCCGAGTATGAGCATGAAATATTCTTGTGACAGCTTGGTAAAGCAGCAGACAGAATAAGCCAGGCAGAAGAGGAGACACATCTGTCTCCGTCCCAGAAACTGCGGTAGCCAGCTGGCCACTGGGGCAAATAGCACTGAAGAAGCAAGGCCACATACGTACAGAATGGCGATCTGAGACTCCAGGAAGTTGTAATGTCGGTAGAGTTTATAAAGGTAAGGTCCCTGCAGCCAGTCTGCCCAGAGGGCCAGGAGATACGCCTTCAGAAAGAGCTTCTGGAACCGTCTGAATGCCGGATTGGCGACGGCTGTCTGTGTGGCCTGGGATGAGTTGAGACGGCGGGCTGTGATCTCTAAAGTCACGCACAGTCCCGCCAAGACTACAAATGCAAGGTATGCTGTCACAAACATGATGGACTAAAGGTGACTGAAGAAGTCTCAAATCCTAAATCAGCATCCTCATACAGCTCTTGGTCCAGTGAAACTCATGGTTCATCTGCAAGAAGGGAATAAATATTAATTATGAAAAATAGTGTAATGGGAACTACATATCAACTAAATGTTAAGAAGAATTGTTTTCTACCAAAAAAAATGGCTTACCAAAAGTGACATTCTTCATCATGTAACATTCAAAAAAATATCAACTGCTGGATAAGCCCAATGGAGAAATCATCCTGACAGACTGACAGCTTCACTTCTGAAATAAGCCACACAGTCATTATTAATTCATGGCAACAGGCCAATAACACTAAATTATGCTTTAAAAGCACTAATGCTATTTTTGAAATTCAACTTGACTTGTTGACTAACATTTAACATTAACTGTTGGGTTAAGCGCTTTAAATACACCTACCTTACTATTAACATTCTCCTTAAGAGTTTGAAAAGTCTCCACTGATTTTGGGAGATAAATGACCTTTTCTATGCCATGGTTTCAGAAGATTTTAAAGCATGAATGCTTTCAATATTCGCCTATCTTCTCTACAACATCCGTGTGTGTTTCCGGGTTACTCAAACATAATGACGCAAAGCATACGAAGGACGCCTGCGCTTAGCTTATGAATATTAATTACGTATCCCTGCGTTCACAGAGTACCGCTCTCTGATTGGTCACTAAGCAGGCTGACAATATAAATATTAATTAGGGTATGTACCAGGACGCTCCGTCAACTTTTCCAAGCATTCTTGTTCTTTTTCCTTTATTCTTGTTCTTATAGGTTTAGTTATAAGAAAAAGATTTTAAAAATGTATTAAACTGCGAAGTTTTATACTAAAACTGTCCTGGAACTTTTTACCACGACTTCATCTTTTATTCAGTGCCTTATTATAAGTTTTATATTTCGCCTGTCCCAGAATTTGTAATCTTAAAAATACAACTAACTCTTGTAAAATAATAATAATTTCATTGTAAAATAATAATAATATTTATTCACGAGATTTTGATACTAATAAAGGTTGTTTTTTCCCCCCCCCAAAATGGATTTGGTTGCCAATGTCACATGTTTGTGTTTTGAGATTAATGTGAAGGATATGATGAAATTAATGAAGAAAACTAAAATTAAGGTAAGAGTAAGCACAATATTTATATCATGCACTGTTTAAAAAAGTATTTTGACAAAATATTCAAAAAGCGTGTAAACGTTATAAATTTTGTGTAACTTTACGCCTGTTTAGGATGCGTATATGCTAGCTGTAAATTTAGCATTAGCAAGAATTTGAAACATGTCAAAAAATGTCATCCACCACCACCATGTCCACCATCAAACACAATAATTTCAGATATAATGACTTGGTGGAGCAAATTACGTTTCAGGAAAAAACACAGATTAGCATGTGTATAACACACTGTTGTACATTGCTAGCTGCCACATTAAACTAGTGGAAGAGTGAAAACTGTGTTTTTGGAGAGTTTGTTTTTCTAAAACAAAAGTGCCCAGCGTTGATGACACAAACGTAAATAAAACGTAAGCATGACTACATTAATAGTCATAGGTTTTATCTTATGCATATTTTGATTTTTAACTGCGCTACCGCGGGTTTCCACACGATGTCACTATAACACCGTTGTTTACTATGTAACGCGCTGCTTTGAATAATTTTCTGGATGACAGACATCTCTTATGTCTCTCAGTGTTGTACAACAATACCACGAAAATATGATAGGTCCTACAAATACGTTTTTAAAGCATAAGAATTTAAAGAAATGTAATTTAATCTGGCTACATGCATAAATTTGAACTGATTCTGCATAGTAGCCTATCCTTTGCCAGTGTCCTGAATTAGAGTGTATTAACTGAGTCTGTTTGACAACCAAAACGTGACTGACATTTTCAGGCCAGTTACAATTATTTCTACATCACTCTGAAAAGCTCCTGATATAAAGTCTACTGAGGAAATGCATGACAGTCTACATGGTTTGTCTACTTAGTTTATCTTTAGAAAGCAGAAAGCATTCATTGGTGTTGCAGTATACCACAAATAATTTTTCATTATTATTTTTTGGAATTTAGTCAGCAAGCAATATATACACTACCGATCATAAGTTTAGAATAACTCATATTTTATAGTGTTTTATTTTTTTATATGTTTCTTGCGCACCAAGGTGCATTTATTTAATCAAAAATAAGCTAAATAAAGCTAATAAAAAAATCTATATTAGAATAATTTCTGAAGGATCCAAAGATTGGCCATCACTGAAATATATTCAAATAGAAAAATTATTTTAAATTGGAAAACTATTTCACACACACACACACACACATATATATATATATATATATATAAACAAAACAAAAACAGAAGACATCAGAATAGATCATCTCATATTTATATTGGTTCTACAGAAGAAAACAATTTACAAAATATACATTACCATATGATTGAATAAGTTTAATTTACCAGCCATAATAACAATCGATTCAGCTGATCAAATCAACCACATGGCAGCCCAAAATGTCTTTTTGACATGCTTTGTGAACTTAGTAAAGGCTGTAAAGATACTGTGCTGGTGCCAGAAGTTCAGGGGCTCTTTCTCAAGACACACAGATGAACAGTCCATTTCTTACAAGGCACCAAACGCCCCATCTCAGTCAAACACACCACTGCGTATCCCTCTTTCTCTGAACAGGCAGTTCAGTCAGTGTAAATGTGCAATATTTACAGTAAGAAAACAACAGAAAACTACAAAACATAACATGCTTAGGAGAGAATGCTGGTTTTGTATCCCTAGATTCAGATATATTCATAAAGGAGAATGTGTGGAAATTTGACATACTGCATTCAGCTTGACAATGATAATTAAAAAAAGTGAACAAATATGACGGTTTTATCTGTTTTCAAAAGTGAAATGACATTTAAAATCGGTTTCTTTTCATTTTCAAAGAACTTAAATGGTAACCAGAGTTGTTGTAGATACAGTAAATCTTGTGTAATTAAATGTTACACACTAACACAGGTGACAAATGTATTTTTCTTGTCTCAAACTGAAGTTTTAATGTGATGTAACTGTATAAGTGATATCTATGGCTTATGTACATGGTATTTCTTTCCATTTCTCAAACACACAGGCACATACACTCACACAGTTGGCTTTAAATTTCCCCTAAAATGACCTTTCTACTGTATACATGGTGTACTTGACTAAAGATTATTTCAGTGTGCAGGCAGTTCAGAGGAATGACCCGTTTTTGGTCTTCAAAAGTTCTGTGTAAGCTTATTTATGATGATATGACTGGCGCAACGTTCCCTCGGATAAATATAATCAACAATGCTCTCGAGGCGAGCTGAACAGAAGGGCAATGCATGCATGAAAATGATCCGCGAAAGCTTAAATGGAGATATAGTCTTGTTTAGAGCTTGCTGAGAGCCATCTGTTCATTGTGTTTCTCATTAACACACATAATAACGAATGGTTCCTATGGGAACATGCTCCACATCTCTTCTTCTAAATGAGCAGTCTTTCTCTTAACCAGGAAAGGTGTTCTCTGATTGGCCGGTGGTTGAGTTCCAGCTGCAGCGAGTGATAGCTCAGGGATCGATGCGGAAGGCCAGCAGCTTGTCCGAGTGAAGGTTGTTGAGGGTGTGCAGGTCTGGCAGAAGCAGGAGCAGTTTGGGAAAAACAGAGTTGTCGTCAGGGCGGCGACGGGTGACTAAGGTGCGCAGCGCTCGGATGAGTCCTTCCTGTAACTGTTCCACAGCTACTGTATCCAAAATACCAGAGCAATCTGTGGATAAATCAAGAACAAGTTATTAGCAAAAAACCAACAGAAAAAAATTTAAATAAATATTATAAATAAATTATAAAGATTATGAATACAATATAAGCTTTTATATTATATTTTATAAATATTTATATAAATGTTAAATAT